ATTAATATATTAATATATTATATAATATATTATAATGAAATTCAATTTCATAATATATTATAATATATATAATAGATTTATAAGTTATAATATATAATATTTTATATATATTAATTAAATTTGGTTTTTAATCGAAAACCAAACCGAAAATTTTGATTTCGATTATTTCAGTTTTCTTGTAATTCAGTTTCGGTTCAATTTTAATTTTTTATTTCAGTTTTTAAAATCCTATTTTTAACAGAATCAACCCAATGCACCCCGAATACAAGAAAGATATTCCTAATGCCCAACTATATATGTAAGAATTTATGGGTAGAAGATCCAACTGCATTTATACCAACGAAAATGAAGGGTTGTTGTTGTTAAATCCACCTCATAAATAATTAAATATTTATTGATTTATAAAGTTGGAAAGAAAGCGAGACATCGACCATGACTGAAAAAACAAAATGAAAGTGGCAGCGACAAGACTCAAGAGTGGAAGGTGAAAGATCTTTTTGTTCTTCTCTTTTGTGATTGCACGCAAATGATATAAGGCAGAGGATAGGACAACTGTTGACGTGTAGTTGAATTATTTACAGGGATAATGGCAAGAAGCAATCCAAACTCTTCGTTACTAAAATGATAAGAAAAGAAAGAAAATAATCTCAGCCTCTACAATGCATTCAAACAATTCCATAACAATTTAACATGTGAAAACTGTGGAATCAGTGGAGGTCTTAGCGTTCCGGGTGCATTTTAAGACTTGGAAATTTCCCGTTGAAAAATGAAAATGTTTTGGATACAGGGGGTCATACATAACTTTAGGAAAGAACTTGGGCTTATTATGTGAAATTCTCTTTCAATTTATACTTTTAGGTAGGGGTGGATTCAAGCTGAGCTAAGTTGAATATTTGGCTATTTGAGCTTAATTCGTTCATAAATTATCAGGCTCGAACTCGAGTTCAGTTCGAATTAGAGACTTGAGTTTGAACTTGGCTCGAGTCAAAAGCTTAGAAGTTCGAGCTCGACTACATTTGATTGCATGTCTCCCTTAGCTGCTGAAGTGTTGCGTTGAGTTCTTCCTAGCAACCAAGGTCTCCCTCAGTTGTCGTCTTGCTGAGGTACTAAGCCAAGGTCTCCCTTAACAGATGAAGTGCCGAGCTGAGTTTTCCTTAGCTGTCGAGGTGCCGAGCTGAGGTCACCCTTAGTGGTAGAGGTGTTGAGCGGAGGTCTCCCTCAGTAGCTGAGGTGACATAGGTTCGCAAGCCTCACAAGTCAAGCTTTATTAAGCTCGAGGTCAGCTCGATTAGCAAATGAGCCTATATATTAGGTTCAAATTTGGCTCGAAGCTCTATTTAGACCGAGCCGAACCAAGCTCGAACAACTCGTGAGCAACTCATCTCGTGGCCACCCCTACTTTCAAGAGGCACCTGGATCTGCCACAAGACCGGATCTTTTTTCCGGCAAGGGTCCTAAAAATCAATCACAACAGCATTTGCAGTCGTGCATTAGGAATATTTCCCTTGTCCTCTATGGCAAGATATTCCCAATGCACAGCTCCACAGGTTGTTGTGACCAGTATCTTCGGCCCATTAAAACCATGCCACACTCGGAAAGCACCACATCCTGCTATACATTAGGAACATCTACAACATTCATGTATGTATAGAAAATATTTTCAACCTACGGCTGGATGCAATGTGAACAGAGTTCTGTGGGAATTGAAGGAAAGTTTTCATTGTTTGTTTCTCTGCTTTCTATGCTTCTGAAATTATATACAGCCAATTTTCCAGCTTCTCTCTTTCACTCTTTTTGAACTCCTAACATGCAAGTCGAACATGTAAACAAAATTCGAAATTGATGAGCAAAGCAACACATGTCCCAAGATTCGAAATATTCGAGCAAAGCCCAATTGATTAATTTTCATAACAAGACTGAGTTTGATAAGATTTTTCACTTCACTGCCACCAATCCAACGTTGTATATTGAGTCGATTCGTACTTATTGGAAGTTTCTGAAAGGGATGGTAGAATCCATCGTATGGACGCCAAAACAGATGCGTAATAGGTGGGCGAATTTTAAAAATTTTCTACCTGTCTTTCAACTGGGAATCGCATTCCCTAATTTTAGAATCAAGATTCAAGGATCCTACTTGAACCAGAACCGAACCAAATCTGAACCAAAAGTGAAGGGAGTAATTATACTTGATCCAGAGAAAAATTTCTCCCAAAGTTGGTGTTCACGCCCAAATATCAAGAACTGTGGAACAGAACCAGCAGGGTGCGTCCTACACATTGAATCCTTTACAAGAATCCTTTGGGTGACAATGAGCACCAAACCGAATCAGCCTTTTCAACAAAGACTGATATCAAGAACTATTCTTGATCTTTCTCTGACAGAGAAAACGAACTGTGACAGATGGATGGCAGCTGCAACAAGAGGGAGCTAGAGAAATAGATGGCAAACTACTTTTCTTTTCTCTAGGGTTTCTGAGATCCTATCTCATAAAACTGCAGAGTGTGTTCTGTCCCCCTAGGGTTCGAATTCATTTAATTCGATTAGGGTTTCTTCCAGTTGCTTAATGATTAAGAAAGGATTTCCTGATCATATAAATAATTGCCCCTTATCCAAATCTGTATTTGGATTAGGACTCTTCTTAATCCTATCTGCAGATTAGATAAGCTTTTGGGCTCATCCTAATCTCAGATCTACCCCTTAATAATGACTGATCAAATCAGCCCAGTTCGAAATGGGCTTTAGGCCCAATAAGGTTATGTGCT